TGGGGTGGCAAAAACCCTGGAGCCGGCCCTGGAAGTAGCGTAGAGAATAGTTGCATTCCAGTCCCATTCTCTTCAGAGCCAGGGCTTCAGAGCCCCTAGGTTAGTACTCCTAGACCAGTGGTTCTCAAACTTTTTTTTTTGCAGACCACTTGAAAATTGCTGAGGGTCTCAGTGGACCACTTGATCTTTCGAAATGTTGTTTGTACCATTAGCTAACTATTGTAAAGCGCTTTGGATAAAAGCACTATAAAAAAAAAACAACTTTTTTGGTTCTACAAATAAAAGCACACAACTCATATTTTAATATCAGTAGTCTTACCTGTCTAATGTGATGGATGTGCCCTCTCTGCCCTGCCGTGGCAGCCCCCGAGCTGGGGCTGGGAAGGAGGGGGGTTTCTCTCGCTCTCCCCCACCACGGCAGCCCCCGAGCTGGGGCTGGGAATGAGAGCCAACTCTCCCCAGCAGCCGCAGCCCTGGAGCCAGGGAAAGTTGCCTCTTTCTCTGGTCACCGCAGCACTGCATGTCCCAAATTCCCCCCACCCCTTCTCACCCCACTGCCCCCTCCCACCTACCCTCTATTCCCCCAAGGCCACCACCTCACCTTATGTGTGTGTCTTCTCCAGAGTCCAGGCCCCTAATTAGTGGAGCCACACCTGCACGGTTCCACTAATTAGGTGGGTGGCCCTTTATTGTCTTGCGTGCAGCCACGCAGGCGCGCACCTTAGAGGGAACTATCCGTGGGCCACCTGAATGGAGCTCACAGACCACTGGTGGTCCATGAACCAGTTTGAGAACTTCTGTCCTCGACTACAAAATGCAGTGACCTCTGTGGTCACTCAAGTATCACTACTTGTTTGGAAGGGAATTATGCCTAGTGTAAGCAGAGTGACTATAACAGAAATATTATGGGTTAGGAATTCTCACAACACTCCAAGCAGAAGCTCGGCAGGTCCAGGTAGTTGCTTTACAGACAGACAGGGTGCGAGAGGACTGGTCTCTCCTTTTCTTCATTGTGAGGCCAGCATTCATTCTGAGGCCAGCATTCATTCTGAGGCCATACCAGCAACAGGAAAAATTCATCCCAGGGAATGTAAACAGCAAGTAACGTAGGCAGGGTGCAAACTTTTTACTAGCATGTCATAGACCCAAGGATGAGACAACTAAGCCTAAATTCTGCCAGTGCAGATGCCTCTCTACAGGGGCAGCGATACTGATACTAGTGTACATGGGTGTGAAAAGAGCAATATTAGATATGAAGAGCATGATTCAGGCAATATTTAGTGTGTACTATTCAGCGTAAATATTTTATGTGCAGCTGGCACCTCATTGCTGTTGACTAGAATGTGCAAACCAGCCCTATTTCTAGGGTCATATACATTTTGACAGGTTTGACAAACAAACAATCTTACATTCAACATTTTACTTCAAATGTTGTAAGTAACAAATTAGCCGAACTCTGTATCTATGTATAAAGTTCTTACTGAGATCAGTCTTGGGGTTGCAGGTATTAATGGTAAGTCTAATATAAAATCCTTTGACTAAAAGCATTAGAAAGTGAGACTTTCATAAAATTGTGAAGTATTTGAAATCTACCGCTTAATTAAGAATATTTACATATGCAAACTGACCTTAAACTGCATACCATCCCCATTCCAAGTGCATTACCTTGAATGGTATAAATACTCAAGCAATTAAATGTTAATCTCCAGCTAAAGACAATATCCGTGTTTGTATTTTCAGAAATAGTTGTATAAATTTCCGGAAACAGGTTAATTTATACTGCCACGAAGAGGAAATATATAAAGCTCATATAACTAATTTGCAATGAAATCTATCTTTTTCTGCTGATTAAGCTTTGGTTAATGATGTGTTCCACTTTCATGCATGGTAACCAAAGGTAGAGTCCTTCAGAAACAAGTGACAGGAATTTGCATTAAACAAAAGACATTTATCTACACAGGAAGAGGAGATGAACCTTCAGACACGGCTTCCAGTATTATCATGGCTAGAGTCATTTATTATCTGATCTCCACTGGGGATTGAAACCTTGCATTAATGCTCCCGTGAGAAAAATCTGATAAAAATTAGAAATCTAATACTGATTTGTGAGTAATGTATCTGCTTTGATGGCAACAAAGCAAAGCTGACTAGAATTTCTATCTGTGGGGCTTTGAAAATTGCACTCGTTACATAAGTAAATTATACGTCTCTTCTATGGAGCGCCACTGCAAATGAAATGAAACTGATTAGGACCCAAGACTCTAGAAATTCCCCCATGTAGCCCCAGACAATGTTTTAATTCACAAACTGCCAAATGGCACATTGTCTAGTCTTGTCCAGGAGACAAGATGAGATTTGCAACAAATCTTACAGCACTTGAAAAGGCTGCACAGAGATTTCATGTTTTTTTAAAAACCAGTTGATTTAGGGGAAAAGAAACAGCTGAGGTCTACAGCAATTCTTCCTCTTTTCAGGATGGAACTGTGCCTCCCAAATACTCACTGAGTCACAAGCAAGCTCACACTGTTCACTGCTGAACTGTGGTTATCAGACCATCTACGAAGGAGTGTCTGTAGACAGACTGGTCTGAAGCCGTTTAGGAACCAGGGTAAAACACAGAATTTAACATCTAGGCAATGAGTAAATTCATTGAGAACCATTTACAGTAAGAACTTTATTGCACTATGTCCAAGTGCTGAACCAGCTATTGTGCCTGTTGGGCCCCGGTCACAATCGAGCCCCTCACACTCCATGTCTACACTGTATACGCGTCTGTGCACCCATGTGACTTTATCCTGTTTTCTCAATTCAGTTAAGGTTGCAGGGTCATAGTACAAGCTAATATAGTATATGGTTATAAATCAAAGTAAAACTAGGAGGAATGCAGTTATACACAGAGCATGTAAATAGGGTTTTTTATTGTTCTTTTAAAGGGTCTGGGCTTTGGTTTTCAATCTGGCTACAACCCTTTTCCCCCTCCAGTCCAACATCTCTCTCATTTGTCAAACCGACGTCAGCTATCAATACTTTATTCAGTTCAAAAGCAAAGATTTTAATTTCGCAGAAACAAAAATCCAATTCTGAGAATAATTAAAATGTTGGTTTGTTGTTCAGGGGGGAAAGGGCCAATATTAGATGCTTCCAGCCTTATGTACCCCTGCGCAGAATCAAACATTACCAATTATTTTCCTAACATGTAGGAATTAGCATCATGCACACTTGTGCGCCCCCTTTATCTACAACACACACACAAAAATTGAGCACATTACACATTTTAAGGCAGGAAGGAGTTTGTTACTACATTAATACAGCTCGAGTCAAGGTACAGTATCTGAGCTTTGGGGGGGGTGCAGTGTTTTATAGCCTTGAACCTACAAAGGGATCTTTTGGCATGTCCTTAAGTGGGAAGGTTTGAGTAGTACCATCATTTTTTGTTTGAACTTAAACACACTTCTAGAAACAGAATTTTAAACTCCATTATATGTTTTCTGAAAGTGTTGATGCAGTTTTGTTAGGTTACAAATTAAAACAAAACTTTGGAATAGGAAAATATCCTATAGAGGCAGTTCACATAACCAGCATCTGAGGTATTACTAAAGAGGGGGTACCAGTCTGCACTTGCTGGCACTGCTGCTGGGACAGACAAGGAAAGCCTTTGGTGCTGCACAGCAAGAGACCACAGGACAAGACGACCCTAAACCTGCGTTCCAAGTCCTCAGCGGCTGACCAATATTACAAACACAACGTTGAGTTGAAAGCACACACGATCACTAATGTGGCAGAACACTAAGCTGGCATTACAATTAATTTGGTAAAACCAGTTTTACTGAAACTACCTCTCAGAGGCAGTGCAAATGACTAGTCTGATTAGTGCACTGAACCCAGCAATGACTCTGCAAAGGAAATACTGCACTGGTCCACAAACAATACATTCCAGCCCCTGCCCCCCAAAATCAGCATTTTCCCAACCCCGTAAATTACGGCCTGCTGACAGTGTATGCACATTAGGCATTGTTGGTGTGTAACCAGTGATTCTCTCTCAGAAAGAGCCTGGTAAAGAAAAAAAGAACAAGGCAATCAGTGGTTAAACTGAACTGTACATGAGGACCAGTCTGGGAAAATACCCATAACCAGGCATTTATTCAGAGACCAAACTGCATATATACTACCTGAGCCTCACATGCAGTACCAATGAGACCCTTCAAGTCCTGGTTTATGTTCAAAGAGGCAGAGATAATCTGGACAATGACCACAACAGCCTTTTTGTTTCTTAGGACAGAGGAGTTTAAAAGCTCCCTGCCTGGAATCTCCTTTAGTTGACTAGGACACTTCTGGATTATGGATGTCTGAATCTTCCTCCACCAAGATATATTTTTTCTACCCAACTAGCAGAAAGTTAACTTCTCAGCCAAGTTTTTTTGAGAAATACGATTTAGTCAAGCGCACACACACACGTGCCCACACACACACAGAGCATTATTTGTAAAAATACTATCTCCACCAATTAGAAAAGGCCTTTAGCAGGTTCACCAAGTGTATTAGAGAGAGTCTTCAGTTAAAGAAAACTACCAAAAACATCCTGTCATTTGCAAAGTCTAAATACCACATAGACACACAACACAACCACCACTATATTTCTAGAAGAGTGCCCAGTTGGACTTAAGGCTGTCAGACTGCTCACCTACAGCAACAAAGGCTCCTCCTTATTTCTGTCTGCCAGCTCCCAGCAAGGAAAGGGGGGGGGGGGG